AGCGCATGTGGGCCGAGGCGGCCGGGCCTGCGGGCGGCGCCGAGCCGCTGTTTCCGGGCTCCCGGCGGAGCCGCAGCGTGTGGGACGCCGTGCGCCTGGAGGTGGGCGGCCCCGACAGCTGCCCGGTGGTGCTGCACAGTTTCACGCAGCTCGACCCCGACCTGCCGCGCCTGGAGGTGGGTGAGCCAGGCTGGCCCGGCGCTCGGCCGAGCGAGGAGTGGGTGGGGGCCCAGCGTCCTTAGCGGGTCACCCACCTCCAGTGGTGGTGGTCACCGCCCCCAGTCCGGAGGTTGCGGAGGGGGAGGGTCCTTCCGCAGAAATCCCCCTCCTTGCGCCAACCCCAAGGCAGCCAGGTGGGCGGAGGGGCGCCGCCAGCCGGTCCAACAGTTTCGGGACCAGAACCGGGTCTTCGTGCCCCCCTCTATCCGTCCCAGTGCGTGACCTCACCGAGCCCAGGTGTGCCACTCCCGCGCCCCTGCAACCCAGGTAGACTTGCTCCCGCGGGCAGTCACTGTCTGTTTGCGTCTGTGCCTTTCCCTACAGCAGGGCTGGGCCGTATTTAGTCCCCGTGGCCAGGCCGGGGCCGGCTTAGGCAGTTTGGCTTCGAAATGCAGGTGGTGAACGAGTGATTAGGGCGGCAATCTTCTAGAATCCTCAGAGGCGGTTGGGAGCACAGTGGTCTTACAGACAGCCCCCCTTGGGGGCAGAAGTGGACTCCGATGTTCTGGGCTGCTCAAAGCGGGGGAGTGGGGAGACAGGCCTCCAATCTGTGGGGCCCGGTGTCCAGGCGGGGAGGTTGGGACAAGGGCCTCTCAGGTGGAGGGGTGACTCACTTCTTGATTAGAAAATGCGCCGACACCCTGAATCTGTAAGGATTTGGGAGGATTCAGAACGGGGGTGTGCCTATCATGCATGTGATTGGGGGAACTAGGTGAAGGCTGGACTCCTGTCTCTAGTGTGCTCTGGGCAGCGGGGGGCGGGGGAGGAGTTCCCCCCCACCCCTCCTACCTGACTGTGCGGCCAGGGTGGCAGAATCCAGGGTTGGGGCCTGGACAGAGGCCATTCCTGGGTCGGAGAGCTCAGCAGGGTTCCTGAGCCCCCGAGCTGGCGAGGGCCCCGTGGTATCCCTGCTTTGTCACTTTAGGCCCGGGTAAGTTGTAATTGCCAGCCTGGGTCTCGTGCCTCTGTGTGTCCCCAGTGCCTAGACGGGGCCGGGATGCATACTTACCCGAGGATAAAGCGCATCTCCCTGCCCAGAGTGGGGGGAAGGCAGGGGGTGGAGGGAGCTCTTGGTGGGAGAACCTCGGGCCGGGGAGACCCTTTATTGCTGAGCTTGGCCGGTGGCCCGGCCAGGCACACTCCCCGACCCTCATCCACCCACAGCTCTGGTCTTCATTAGTGGCTGGAGCGAGACCCCTGGGAGGGTGGGGGTGGGCGGCCTGACACCAGCCCAGCACTCATCTGACTTTCATTATGTCTGGCAGCTCCTCGGGCTTTGTGTGTTGGAGGGTCCGGCCTGCGTGCTCGCAGGGGTGGGCCGCTCAGCTGCTTCTCTCCCTCCCTCCTTCCCTCCCTCTGTCCGTCTGTATCCCTGAGGAACCGAGGGAGAGGCAGAGCTGAGCCCTACCCCTGCCCAAGGGTCTGCCTTGTCTCCCTCTCTCTCTCTTTCCGCCTCTCCCCCTCTCCCCCCTCCTCTTCCTCACTGGCCCCAGCACTGAGATCCAGGCCGTGGCTGCTGTTTAGAAATCAAAGGGGAAGCTTCTGGCTGGGGCAGGAAAACCAGGGTCCTGGCAGGAGAGGAGGCCACTGCCGGAAACCAAACACAATGACCATTTACCATGAGCTGGGGGAGGGGGTGGGGAAGTCCCTGTCCCTCCTGCCAACACCCCGCCCCCCCCCATCCTGGGGCTGATTTCCTGGTCGCTGGGGCCTGCCAGAGCTGAAGCGGCTGTTCGTGGTCCCTGTCCTGTCTGGAAACCACTAGGCAGTTTCTGGTTCCTTCCCCGGTCCCCCTTTCCTTAACAAGTCTCCACCCCGTCCTTCCCTCTCTGGGCTAACAGATGTCCTCACACATCTGGGCATCTGCTCATCATCATACTTCTAAGCCAGGCCACTGCTGACCCAGCCCGGCCTGCGCAGTTCTGTGCTTTCTGGAGGTCACCGGGCCCACGCCCCTGCCTCCGTTCAGGCCACTGCCTCAGCCAGGCAGGAGGAGTCCCGGAGTCCGTAGCACCTACTGTCTGCAGACACCACCCCCTCGTTCCAGCTGGCTTTGACCAGCCCTCCCGAGTAGGTGCCGACCCCGCTTTATAGGAGACTGGAGCTCAGAGAAGTGAAGTCCCTGAACTAAAGGTACACGCAGCCAGCGAGGACGCAGCTGGGATTTGAAGCTGGGCAGTGTTCTGTGCTGGGCACCTGTTGTGTACGAGAGCCCACAGGGGTCAGAGAAGGATACCTCGCAGTGAGACAATTACACGTGCCCCAGGAGGATGGTGGAGCTGTTAGGGGAACGGAACCAGGCCCAGGCAGCCCAGAAGTCCCCGTGCTTGGTGAAGGGTAGGGGTGCTTATAGGCCAGAGGAAGGTGAAAGTGCTTTGGGCCACAAGACACGGGGGAGAGCTTCAAGGAAGAAACAAGCCCACAGCTGGACCCTAAAGGTTTTAAATAATAGGTAACATGAGCCGGCACTGGGTGGGAGGCCGTGTGCTGAGCAGTTTGCGTGCGTTATGTCTTTGGGGGTCAGGATCATCTGTCGCCCATTTAACAGATGGAACAACTGAGGTGCTGGATTGCACAAACTCACGGAGCCAGCAAGTGGCAGGGGCGGGATTCCCACCCAGGCAGGGCGTCTGCAAGCCCTGAGCGCGGTGTAAGTGGGTGGAATGAAATGAGGAAGCCTTCTCGGAACCTCAGGCAGAGCAGAGATGTGCAGGGGAGATGCGTCTCCCTCCAGCCTCCCCGCCTCCTTCCCCGTTGTCTGGTCTCTTGATCTCATGGTGTGCAGGGCTCCAGTGTAACCCCCAGGGCTCATTAGCCTTAGGCCAAGAGGCATGACCTGAGAGGTAGGGGTGTGTGTGTGTGTGTGTGTGTGTGTGTGTGTGTGTGTGTGTGTGTGTGTGTGTGTGTGTGTGTGTGTGTGTGGGTGTGTGTGTGTGTGTGTGTGTGTGTGTGTGTGTGTGTGTGTGTGTGTGTGTGTGTGTGTGTGTGTGTGTGGTGTGTGTGTGGTGTGTGTGTGGTGTGTGTGTGTGCGTCTGTGTGTCTCTGTGTGTGTGTGTCTCTGTGTGTCTCTGTGTGTGTTTGTGTCTGTGTGTGTGTGTGTGTGTGTGTGTCAGTCTGTGTACTGTCATCTACCAGCCAGGCTTCCCGGCAGGCTCCAAGGTGGCGGCCTCCAGCAGCTGCACAGCCTGTCAGGTTCACAAGGGGCCTGACCGGCTGCCACCTGCTGGGCCCCCATGGACTCTCGGGTTCCCCTCTTGCTTTACTCCTCAGGGGCCAGGCTGGCTGGTACTGGGTCCTTGTTCCTTCTCTGGCGGGGAGGACTTCTCCGGACTGGGCACGCTGAGCTGTTTCCCCAGCGGCTCTGGGATGGCCCTGGGGCAGGAGCGGGTGGGGGCTCAGTGCTGGGAGGTGTTAGACCGCTGGCAGGCAGGACTGGGCCCCCATCCTCAGCCTGGGAGTTAGCCGTTTCCAGGCCCTTCTTCACTGCTGGTGAGGAGGGTTTGGAGGAGACTTAGCACTGGCCACCTGCAGCCTCCGAGCAGGCCAGTGGGGGCGGTTTGGGGAGGTGGCACCCCGCCACCCAGTGGAGGACTGGCTGCCTGTAAGGCCCTCACAGCGTGGCACCATGCTGTGTCCGCCCTGCCTCAGGCTCGGCGTCCAGCCTCTCAGGCTCAGGAGTGCCGCGTTCCTGGACATGTGGCTCCCGTGAAGCCACTGTCCCCAACCCAGTTCTGAGGAGGTGGGAGTTGAAACCTGCAGCCCAGTGCAGGAGAAGCGGAACTTTGAGCAGCCCCCAGTTTCCATCCCCTGACCAGCCTGTGGCGGGGGAGGGGGAGGGGTGAGCCGATGGTTGCCAGAAGGGTGCTCGGTGAGCAGGGTGAGGGCATCCAGCACGGGCCTGCATTCTGGGAGCTCGGGGAGTGCGTGTTGCCCGACGTTTTCCTCTCCTCCCCAGGGAGCCCCCGGATGCTGGCAGGCTCTGGCAGCTCTGCGGGCTCGAGGGAGGCACGATGTCCTTTTGACCCAAGGGGCAGCGTCACGCGTGCTGGTCCAGAGCTTGGGCTCTGGAGGGAGGAGAGCTGGGCTGGAAGGCCGGCTCAGCCTCTCGCAGCCCTAGACGTGCTCTCGGTCCCTGAGCCTTGGTTTCCTTATCTGGACTCGAGGCCAGTTGCTCCGCTTAGGCTTCTGGTGAGGACCGAAAGAGACAGGCGGCCTGGCAAGCGGTCCCCACGGCGCCTGGTACTGTGTCAGAGCCGGACAGGCCGTGGCTGCCACGATTGTGTCTTCTGACAAGGTGCCAGGGGAGTGCCCGTGCCCAGGGCTCCAGGAGGACGCTGGCCAGCCTGGTCAGCATTGTGCTTCCCAGGCCTGGTTCTCGTAGCTGACCCCAGGCCTGTGGGTGCCCTGGCCATCCTGTGGCAGGAGCCCCGACCAATCCCCTCTCAGTGGAGAGGTGCGGGTGTGAGGGAACTGCCATTCCCCGCCCCCCCGCCCCCCTCTGGCTGTGTGACCTGAGGAAGCCTGTTCTGTCTCTGGTCTCCCTCCCTCTAGCATGTGACCAGGGGCTGAACTGCACTTTGAGGCTGTGACGGTGGCAGCCACCGGTGGAGCGAGGCCTAGGTGTGTCTCCACGGCACATGACTGTCAGGGGCCAGGGTTCAAATCCCTGCCCCGACTGCCTCTTCCTGGCTCCTGACGGGGATGAGCTCCCCGCCTGGCTTTCGCCACCCATCAAGTGAGGTGTCGGGAGGATTAAATGTGATGAGTGTGCAAAGGGCCTGACACCTGGGAAATGCCCTCAAGTGCTGGATGCTGTGGCCAGTGGTGTTGATGTCAGCTGGCCCTCCCTCCACCCCCTCGTGAGAGGCCACCCTCCTCCTCAGCTGTCACCAGCCATGCCCCCTTGCAGGCCTGGCCCCTAGAGGCCTGACGGTCGGGAGCTGGGGGGGCAGGAGGATGAGGTGGGCAAGGCCAGCCTGAGGTCTGGTCTCCGCTCTCCACTGGCGGCACGTTTCTCTTCTAGACGCTGACGAGTAGCCAGGCTTGGGCTGGCCGAGAAGGTTCTTGGGGAGATGGGTCAGCCTCTTTGGAGGCTCAGCACAGGCTGATCTCCAAACTGCAGTTTCTGGGGTCACTGAGCTCCCCGGTTGCCCTACCGCCCAGGCACCTCGTGTGGTCCCCTACTAAGGCCACCTCTGGGCTGCGCTGCCTGGGGACCAGGAGCGTGGCCACCCCCATCCAGGGCTGACCTTGAGTCCTCACTGGGGGTCTGTTCATGTCCTCGGGCTCAGGACACCCACCTGGGGTGGGGGCAGGCCCGAGGGTGGCGCCCCGTCGCCCACCGGGAGGGCCATGCACATTTGGCGTTTTCTTCCTCCCTCCCTGGGCACACGATCTGAGAGATGAACCAGGGCTTGGACACTTTCTACTTGACCATCTCCCCTGGGCCTTGGTCTCCACCTCTGTAAGATGGGTGCTCGACTTTGTGTTCAAACTGTCCCGGGATTCGGAGAGACTAAGCAGCTCTCTCTGATCCCTGAGCCGTCTCGTGTTTTGGCTCCTGCATTCAGACAGAAGGCTAAAGGGTCGGAAAGCCGCAGGCCTGGTTCCCTCCTCCGCACAGATTTAGGATGACCCGCCCTCCCTTTCACCTGGCCCTCCTCCAGCTCTCCGGGGCGTCTGGCAGGTCTCCCGGGAGGCTTTCTCTGGCCCGGTGTCCATCGTCAGCTCGCCAGCCACAGCGCCCTCAGGTCCTGTTCCTGGGTGCTTTGTATGCCTGGCGCCGAGCCCCTCATGTCCCCTCTTGTGAACCCTGCCGCCTTCGTCCCCTTGGAGAGCTGCTGCCCTTCGCCCATCTCCCAGACAGTCTCACTGAGGCCAAGGGCTGCAGGGCTCAGCTGAGCTGGGAGCCAGAGCCCTGCAGGAAAGACAGTACCTGTGGGTCCGGTGGGCCCAGGGCTGCAGGGTGCTGGCGGGTGGCTGGGTCAGGGCCTCGGGTGACCTCTGTGACTCAGTGGGCCTGAGCAGCAGCTCAGCGGGGTGCCATGAGGTCCCTGGGCGGTGATCTCATGCACGTGGGGGCCACCACCCCCCCACTCCCCACCCTCGCCTGCGTGAGACCAGGTTTCTCCACGTGCAGCCCCAGGGAGGAGACCACGGTGTGGCTTCAGGCCCTCCTCCTCCGTGAGCCCCTGGCCAGTGACGGGGAGACGGTCTGCAGCCAGAGGCGTCTGTGGGTCTGGAGGCCCCGCGTGGTCTGTAGTTGCAGCTTCCACAGCAAATGTACAGCTGAGTGGGAGGAGAGAGGCCACCAGGATGGGAGAAGGCGCCACCCCCGTGTGTGCAGGCACGAGCCGCCTTCTGGGGGAGATGGCAGGGCTGGAAAAGGCCCAGTAGGTCCCCTCTGTTCTCTCCAGAAATGAGGGTGGGATCGGCTCCCGGCAACCCTGTTACTCTGTCTTGCGGGAATCGGGGCTCGGCCTGCAGTCAGTTGGGCCACGGCATCAGAAGGCTGATCAGGTGACACACTAACATGTCACCCAGGCTGTTTCCTTGTCCCTGGGGCTCCGGGCTATGCTCCAAGGGACAGCGGGGTGTGGGGCACCCTGGTGCCCATTCTGCCAGCCTCTGCGCACGAGGGCCTGGAGGCGTCTCACCACCCTCGCTCCAGACCCACGTGGTGGTAGGCTGGGCAGCGTGTGCAAGGCCCAGCTGCCAGCTGGGTCCCCGGGCCCTGGGGCCATCTGTGGGTGCCTGCTTGGGGCGGGACAGGAGGATCTGTCCCCTGAGGACACAGCCACCCACCTGGCGTTCTTTCCCCCTAAGAGCTCACTGCTGCCCTGTGGACGCCTCCCCCCAGGGCGTCTGCCGTTTGCTCGGCCATGCCCTCCCCCGGGAGCTCCCCAGCCCCCGCCAGAGCCTCCCCAGGGGCTTGGTGCTGCCCACACGGGCTGCCTGTTCCCGGACCTGTGTGCTGTCTGCTCTGCTAACAGGATGGGTCACCTGTGGGGTCCAGGGCCCAGCCCTTCCTGCCCCAGAGGGTCCCGGGGCAGGTGCCAGGGCTGTCGGCCGCTGTCCTTCTCTGTCCCTGGAAGCGCGGTGGGAGCGCGGAGCAGACGCCCCACTCTGCCGCTTTGTGCCCAGGATGCGGGCAGCTCTCTTTGGATCCTGCCCTGCCGTTGTCTCTTGGTCGATGGTTTAAATGGCGCCTGCTCTCTGCACTGCTTGGACGATCTGGTTTTGTTCCTGCTGCTGGGCTGCGGTGAAGGGCCCGGAGAGGACAGGGTTAGCTCCGCGGGGCTGGAGCAGCTCCCCATCTGTGCCACGAGGCGGTGACTCCCCCTGGCCCAGCATGTGCGGCTCTCAGCGTCCTGCCCTGCCCCCCACCGGGCTGGCAGAAGGGGGCCCCTCGGGGTGGGGGAAGGGCTTGGGATCACATGACGCCTGGGCAGGGCAGCCAGCTGCTCCGTCTGCCAGCGAGGCCCATGGCTCACTGCAGAGCCGCTATTTAGACCCGCTCAGGGATGGCGAGTCCTCCCATTGGTTGGCCTGGCCAGGAAGCGCTTCTGTCCAGCTGCCTTGATGGGGCCCCGCTGGGAGCCAGGTGCTGTGTGTGCTCCCACGGGGTTCGAGTCCCGTGCCCACAGTCAGGCAGGTCCAGCACAGGGACTCTAACCTGCTGCCAGTGACTGGGGTGCTCAGGACACTGTCTGGCTCCAGGCTGGACCAGAAGTGGCTGGAATCCCCCGGAGAGGGACGGGCCTCTCCAGGGCGGGCAGCAGCCTTTGCGAGAGGCAGTCGAGGACCCCTGAGGAGAGGTAGGGGTGGGTGGACAGGGCCCTGGTCTCGCAGATGGATGGCAGGCCCCTGATATCACCCATCACCACGGCCTCTTCTAGGCCGGGGAAGGATGTGTGACCCAGGGAAGGAAAGTGCGCATCTGCTTCAGTTCTGCCCCAGGAGGAGGAATTTCCCCTCCTCGATGGAAGGGCTGGACCTCCCCAAGCGTGGGCTCTTGAGGTGAGGGCCCTCTACCTGCGGGTTCCCTGCTGACTTCCAAGAAATGCCTGGCTGTGTCTCCGGAGAAGGCGAAGGGTCAGGAGCCCCTGTGTGATTGCACTGGCTTTCCTGTTGGTACAATGCCCAGAGTGGGAGGGCGGCCTTGGGTCAGAGGAAGTAGATTTCCGGAGGATGGCTCCCAGGCCTCCCAGAGCCCTTGAGGCAGGAGGTCCAGACCCATCCCGCTCCCTAGCCCCTGACCCCAGGGGTGCTGATGTCCGAGGGTACAGCCCACAGGACACTGGGCACCTGGTTCCTACCCAGGGGCCCAGCTTAGGCCGAGGGATTTAGGGAAAGGCTGTCAGTGGGGCCCAGGCTGAGTCAGCACTTCCACTGGGCCTTCTGTGAGCTCCACGCCCACCCTGAGCTGGGGCAGTGACCCGTGATCCTAACTGCTGGCATTGACCATGTGAATGATGGCCCTTTGCCAGCTAGCACCTCCCCCCTCCTCCCTGAACTCTCAGAGGTCTGTCTCTTTACTCCTAGGCCCCCCTCCCCACTGCAAGCTCACCCCGTCCCTGGACAGGGGCAGTGGGAGAGGGGGTGGAGAAGCCCAGGGCAGCAACGACTGAGTGGCCTTGACCAGGCCTTGATGCAGCCCCCGGGACAGCCTGCCCAGCAGGAGGGATCACTGCCTTTTAAAACAAGGGTCTTCCTGCCCGGGGTCTAGGAAGCAGCCAGGTGACCCCCCCCCCCCCCACTTCCTGGCCTAGCCAAAGTCCCGTGGTTTTGGAGTTCTGTGGAATCCCAGGCATCAGCCCGGATGCCAGCACTGTCATCATTCTCATGCTATCCCCATGCACGTGATAACGAACAGGGAACTGGGAACTCCTCTGTTGCCCAAGAAGGCACAAGACTGAATGAGCAGAAAGGGAAGGAAGTGCCCTTGGCTGTGGCCGTCGAGGATGCCCGCACCTGCCCCAGACCCGGGAGGCTGACTCCAGGGCTGGGGCAGCTGTCGCAGGTGCCGTCTGGGCACATGAGGGTGAGGGGGCCAGGGGCCTCACGCCCTGGGGGAGGCATCTTCTCGGGGGGCCAGAGCCCCCTAGGTGCAGTGGGCTGAGTTAGGGCCTCGGGGTCCCGGCTCCGCTGTTTACCGTCAGCGGCATGGCTTTGGATGGGTTGCCCTTCCCTCGGCTTCCGTGTAGTCACCTATGAAATGACCAGATAACAGTACTCGCCTTGGGGTGGGGGCGGGAGCGGGGGGATCCCCCTGGGCAGGGGCAGGCTGTTGTTGGAACCCCAGTGGGTACGTCTTGTTCACACCCAGTCATGGCTGGTGGGGTGAGGACGGGGGTGCTGGGGGCAGTGCCTGCCGCCCCGATAGTAACCCCCGGCCCTCCAGCTGTCGTCCTGTTAAATTCTGGGCTGGAGGTCTCTGTGGCCACCGACCTTTGCCTCATCTAGGGAGCAGGAAGTGGCACGGGGCGTCCCCCTGCCACACAGCCAGGCAGGCCCCGACACCCCCGCCCGGTGGCCGGGCGCTGTCTTTGCAGAGCTCCACACAGGAGATTGGCGAGGAGCTGGTCAACGGCGTCATCTACTCCATCTCCCTGCGCAAGGTTCAGGTGCACCACGGCGCCAACAAGGGCCAGCGCTGGCTCGGGGTGAGTGTGGTTGGGGGGTCTCCGTGCCCAGAACCCCGACAAGGCCCGGGATGCAGGGGCCACCCTGGCCACTCCACTGGGCTCCCTCCCAGGGCTTTCCTGCCTGGGGGGCCCCCAGCCCTGCTCCCAAAGGAATCTGGGCCCTAAGCCCTCCCCTACTGTCCAGCCCTGCGCTGGGCCAAGTGCATAGTTCTCTGTTCACTTATTTGTATGAACATCAAAAAAAGACACTTTCATACTATTTCCACTTCATGTTAGGCTGGGATTACTTATGCATTTTGCCCCAGTATTTCTTGTTTTAACGACTGTCCTTCCACACCTTCGCCAAGGCTTTCATCACCTTACTTAGTAGGGCTTTTTTTTTTTTTTTTTAACCCAAAAAGGACTCAGCCTACTATATACGGTTCTCTGCAACTTGCCATCACGGAACACAACTCCATGACCCCTCCAGGTCAGAGCGGGGGCCTGACAAATACGTAACATTTCAGAAGAGAGGCTGGTTACCAGCCATAACTCAGCCTTTCACTGCCGTGAACCTTGACGGGATTCCTTTCTGCAGCCATTTCCACAGTGCCGCCCTGAATAGCCTCTGGGTCCTAACGTACCGTGCCTTTCCACCCCAGGCTGAGCCTCTGTTTTCTCATCTCTAGAACGGGGATGCTTTGCCAGGGGTCCCGGGGACTCTGCCCTTAATACGGCAAGGTGCTGTCATTACTCAGCTAATAAGATGACCTGAAGGTGTTGGTGTTGCGAGTTTTCATCGCCCCACCTCCAGTTCAAAAGCTGAGACCCTTTTTCTGTTCCGGGCACTCACGTCCCATCTCTGTCCTGAAGTCGCCGGGCGCTTGGGGCTTCCTCTGAGTTCCAGCCCCTGCCCTGCCCGTGGGCCACGGTGCTGTCGCTGACCGTCTGTGCCTCTCTGTCCCACCCCAGTATGAAAATGACTCGGCCCTGAACCTGTATGAGACCTGCAAGGTGCGGACCGTGAAGGCAGGCACGCTGGAGAAGCTGGTGGAGCACCTGGTGCCCGCCTTCCAGGGCAGCGACCTCTCCTATGTCACCATCTTCCTGTGCACCTACCGAGCCTTCACCACGACCCAGCGGGTCCTGGACCTGCTGTTCCAAAGGTGAGCGCCCTGCCCCTCCCCGGCACAGTGGCTCCCCGCCCACCCACTGGCTGTGTGTCTTGGGAATGTCGCTTTACCTCTCTGAGCCTCAGTTTGCTCACGTGAAGGCCGGGCTGCCAGGACTGTTGGATAAGCATGGACAGTGCGGCCCTGTGCCCGGCCCTGTGGAAAGGGCTGCTGAGGGCTGGGGCGGTTTTGATTAAGGTTTTCCTCTGCCCCATGGAGAAGCTCTCTGCTTCCAGCCCCTGGGCAGAACAGGTTTCCCATTTGTAAAGGAGGTTCCAGATTCTGTGTCAGGGGTCCTTCCTGGGAGTGGCCAGGGCAGGGCTGGCTGGGGGCCGGCTGAGGGCCCAGGCCCACTCAGGCGTCTGTAAGGTGCTGGTTGGGCTCATTCGTTCAGCAAATACATACGAAGCGCCTACTGTGTGCAGGCACTTTTCTAGGCACTTGGCTTTATTCAGTGAACAGTGCAGACAAAAATCCCCGCCCTCCCGGGCTTCCATCCTAGCCGGAGGGTCAGCCAGTAACACTGGACGTCATAGCAGGTACGGTAGATGTGACGCCCTCACGGCCTCCTCTAGATACGGGTGCATCCTCCCTTATTCCAGCGAGGACGGCGGACCTCAGGACCAACTGAAAAAGTGAGTAGACTTTGGGTCTGATGGGAGGGGCTGGGCAGAACCCTGGCTGCCACTCATCTTGTGATTCCCGCTGGAGGGCTGAGGTCTGGCTGCAGGAGGAAAGGAGTCAGAGAGCTGTGGCTGGGGTCCCATGTCCCCAGGGAGCAGAGGGGAGGCTGGGGGCTCAGAGCCGGCCCCTGAGAGCATCCGTCCCCACTCAGATCCGGGGCCCACGACAGGAGGTGTGGGGGGCAAGCTGCTGACACGTCAGCCTCGCAGCCCAGTGTGAGTGCTCAGCTGGGGCTCACGGGAGCGCAGTCAGGGTCAGGGGGCCGGCTACGTCCCCACCACCAAGAATGGCGTCCCTGGGAGGACGAGACCCGCACTCCGGCGCACAGACCAAGGCAGCCGTCGGTGCGCGAGCTTCTGGTTCAGGTGCGCGAGGCCCGTGAAGGCCGGGCAGGGGCGCACTCTGCTTGTCCCCTCCTCCCTCCCCTGTTTGTGCAGAGCCTACTGTGTGCGGCCAGGCCAGCGCGATGAACAGGGCAGGCGTGGCCCTCCCTGCCCTCCTGCAGTTTCCTTCCCAGTGGGGAGGGCCCGGGGGGCTGGGGGCAGACAGGAGAGAGTCAGGCTCCCCCGAGGAAGGGAGAGGTGGTCACCAGGGACGGAGGGCCCCTTCCTACCAGGCCTGCCAACCAGGCCTGCCCCCGCCTGACAGCCCAGTGCGGGTGGGGCAGGGGCGGGCCCAGAAGCCCAGCCCCCATGGGGGAGCCAGGGGAGGGCCGCGTGGAAGGAAAGGCCAGGCCCCTGACTCTGCTGCCCGCCCGCCTGCCCCCAGTGCCGTCTCCTCCATCCTGGGCACCTGGCTGGACCAGTACTCCGAGGACTTCTGTCAGCCCCCGGACTTCCCATGCCTCAAGCAGCTGGTGGCCTACGTGCAGCTCAACATGCCCGGCTCCGACCTGGAGCGCCGCGCCCACCTTCTCCTGGCCCAGCTGGAGCGCACAGAGCTCACCAAGGCAGAGCCGGAGGGTGAGGAGCGGGGTCGGTGCTGGACACGCAGGAGCCCCCGGGGCTGCCTCGGACCGCCCACGTGGGGACCGCTGGCGGGGAGACGTCCTGGGGTGCTTCTTGAGCTGAGGCTTCTCTAGAAGGCAGTGATGTGGTTTCTGTCTTGGAAAAAGAGGCAGGCGTGTTGCTGAGCTCCGCTCTTCTTTGCAGCTCTGGCTCCAGCTCTGAAGCCGACTGCAGCCCTCGAGCCAGTGCCGGCTCCAGCTCTAGCGCCCAGGCCGGTGCCAGGTCCAGACCTCGAGCCAGCTCTGGCACCAGCACCAGCTCCAGCCCCAGAGCCTTCCTGGCCTTTGCCCGTGGCTGCAGAGAACGGGCTGGGTGAGGAGAAGCCTCACCTCCTGGCGTTCCCGCCCGACCTGGTGGCAGAGCAGTTCACGCTGATGGACGCGGTAGGCAGCTCATCTCAGCAGGGCGGGCAGGGGTGCACCTTCCTTCAGGCGTCTGCCCTGCCCTGTCCAGAGCTGATGTCCTGCCCCAAATCCCATGACAAACCGTGTCGCCCGGGCAGGTTTCCTCACCCGAAGGCCTCGGCTCCCCTCCAGGCTGTGGACCCGGGCCCCATCCCTCGCACTGTGTCTGGGTGGAATGAGGTGGAGCGGTAGAAAGCTGGGCGGGGTCTGGCCCACCCGGTAGCAGACGGTCGCTCACTCCATGGGCCGCCCCCCCTGCCCCCACGTCTGCTGAGGAGGTCTCACCAGCTTCAGCACTTAGCAGGCACCTGGTGCGCGCTAGAAGCCGTGGCAGACGGCAGACGCAGCCTCTGGTTGTAGTGCCCACGTGAATGGGCATCTGGACAGGGGACAGGCCTGAGGCGTGATCAAGGGCTAAAAACACCACCTGTATGGGCAGGTGTGAGCCGCATCTCGTGCTGGGAGTTAGGGTGGACTGGGGAAGGTGGCCACCTCTCTCTCCTGCCAGGGTCACCCTGGGTCACCTTGCGCTGGGTGCCCACAGTGGGCAGGGAACAAAACCAAGAGACACCACCTCCCCGCACCTCCCCCGGCCGGGCTCGAGCCGCCTCCCCAGCTTCCAGAGCTCCAGCTCTGACCAGTGACCCTGCCTAGGCCTGGGGGTGGGGGTGGGGGGACTGTGGGCGTTGAGCTGGGGTGCGGCAGAGCCGGGTGACCTTCCCCTTGCCCCCAGGAGCTGTTCAAGAAGGTGGTGCCCTACCACTGCCTGGGCTCCATCTGGTCCCAGCGGGACAAGAGGGGCAAGGAACACCTGGCTCCCACCGTCCGTGCCACCGTCGCCCAGTTCAACAGTGTGGCCAACTGCGTCATCACCACCTGCCTCGGGGACCGAAGCGTGACGGCCCGCGCCAGGGCCCGGGTGTTGGAGCACTGGATCGAGGTGGCCCGGGTACGCGGCCGCCAAGGGCCCGGGGAGCGCTTTCTGCCCCTGGGTTGATCTCATCCAACCCCAGGAGCACCTCCCGGGGCATCTGTCCCATCCGGGAGGGGGGTGCCCCCCTAAGAGGGACTGAAGCTGGAGCAGGCGGGAGCTCGGCCCCCTCTCACAGCCTGGCCCCTCCCTCCCAGGAGTGCCGGGTCCTCAAGAACTTTTCGTCCCTCTACGCCATCCTCTCTGCTCTGCAGAGCAACTCCATCCACCGGCTGAAGAAGACGTGGGAAGAAGTTTCCAGGTGGGCAGGCTTCTCCCTGGAGGAGCTCCAGGGTGGACCTGGGGCCTCCCACGGGGCTGGGTGCTGCCTGGAACCTGCCCAGGGACAGCACATCCTGGGGGCGGGGTCTCTCAGGGCCAGCAGTTCTGCCTCAGGACCGGGTCTCTTTCTCTGGCAGGTACTGGCTTGAGCCATGTTGGGGGTTTTCATGTGTCTACTTCACCCACATGACTCTGTGCACTTAAAATCAGAACCGGCCAAAACAGAGCCGCTCAGTCGACTGGGAATGGGGTTCCCCGGTGACCCACATGAGACCCACCCCTCCAGGCCTACCGAGCCCTTAGGGTCCAGCAGAACTCTGTTTGGAAACCACCCATCCAGGCAGTTGGGGTCTCTGGGTCCTCAAATGTTTTTGCCCCCGCACCCCTCCCCACCATGTCCTCCTTTCTCCTTCCTTCCCCCAGGGACAGCCTCCGCATCTTTCAGAAGCTGTCAGAGATTTTCTCAGATGAGAACAACTACTCCCTAAGCAGAGAGCTGCTCATCAAGGTAGAGTCCGGGGGCTCGGGGTGGAGGGGCTTATGTTCCCACTGAAAGTTTCTTCGAAAACTTCTCATGAGATCTGTCGGGTCTGTGGGCAGGTGGGGGGCAGTTTGGGAGATAGGAGGCCCTAGTACAGGGATGGAGCAGGGCAGCTGGGCTGTTCCAGAGCTGTGGGCGGGTGAGGGGCAGGATTAGAGTCTCCTGGGTCCTCACTGGTCCCTCACCCGGCACTCGGGGTGGATGAGGTCAAGGGTGAGGGTCTCTTCCTTCCCCAGACCAGCCTAGCCTGTCCCCACAAAGCCAGGCCCTGCTGTTCCTGTCTGCGCTGACCTCCGAGGGCCAGGCACCCCGCCTGCCCATGGGTGGCACTGCAGGGGCCGCCCAGCCATCGTCCAAATGAGCAGGAGGTAGATCTGGGGGCTGGAGCTCTTCCCTCTGCCTCAGGGCAGACACTGCAGAGGAATCCAGGGACTCTTCTCAGAGTCTCACCACAGGGCCTTTGGTGGCCGTGACAAATGGCCCAGATGGCTTGTGGCAAGTGCACAGGGGTGCTAATGCATTCACGGGGGTCCTTCCCCGGAAACTTCCATACAAAGAGGAAGCAAAGTGTCACCACCCGGTGCTCCCAGCAGCCCCAGCTCACCCTCTCAGAGGTGTCACCAAGGAGAGCCCTCCTGAGTGGCTGAAGGCAGAGCTCTGTGCAGGGGACATCCCGAGGGGCTCCGTGGTGTTGTGAAGGCCTTGGCGCGGCAGACACCGTGCTCAGCCAGGCCCCCCCAGACTCCCTGTCTCTCTGTCTCTCTCTCTCTCTGTCTCTCTCTCTCTCTCTCTCCTCGATGGCTCGCCCGGCGGGGGGCCGACACACACCAGAGGCTCTGAGCCCTTCTGAGGCTCATTCAGAGGCAAGGCAATGCCTGTCTCTGGGCCTCAGTTTCCTCATCTGGAAAGTGGGTGAATGCTGACCCCAGGGTGCCAGCCTCACGGGGAGGCAGTGAGGTTCAAGGGGGAAGGGAAATCTGCCTGAGTTTTGTGCAGGACCCTCCTACCCTCCTGCAGAGACGGGGGTCGGGGGCAACAGCACAGCCACACTGATGGAGGTGTGGCGCTGAGTCCTTGGAGACCCCGAGGGGCAGGTGTAATCCTCATCTGTACTTTCCAAGGAGGCCGGGCTGCTGACCCACGTTCCCACACCCTGTGAGCACCTGAGCAGGGGTGCAGATCTAGGAATGGAGTACACTGGGATGGCTGAAGCGTTTGCACCAGTGACCAGGGCCAAGGTCGTGTCTGCTGGTGCGTGATGGGGGGAGGGTCAGAAGGCCTCACCGACCCTGTCCTCGGCCCTGCAGGAGGGGACCTCCAAGTTTGCCACCCTGGAGATGAACCCCAAGAGAGCCCAGAGGCGGCCGAAGGAGGTGGTGAGTGTGCCCGAGGCTGGGAGAGGAGGGGCCGCCCCGAGCCCCCGCTCCTGTAGCTGCGCTGCCTGACGTGACCCTTAGACCGACCTACTCCGGGGCCTGGGGGCGCTGCGCCCTGACCAGCTGGTGTCGGGGGACTAGTAACCACCAGAGCAGGGGCCTGGAAGATCTGGGCCCAGTGGGGATTTGGGAGGGGGGAGGGGCCGGGGCCATAGATTTTGGGGATTTGCCAAATACCAAGCCTGCGAGGTGACTTGAGGGAGTTTGGGTCCATGCACGCTGGGAGGGGGATTGGGGGGAAATGGCTAAAGGTCCCCAGGCTGCGCCAAGTGGGGGGCCTGAGTGGGGCTGAGGGGTTTTCAGGGGAGGGGACTTGCTCATCAGTCCCCCCCCCCCCCCCCCCCCCAGTTGTCACAGGGTGTCATCCAGGGCACCGTCCCCTACCTGGGCACATTCCTCACAGACCTGGTGATGCTGGACACTGCAATGAAGGACTATCTGTATGTGAGTGAGCCCAGGGCTGGGGTCGGGGTGGGGGTCCTGAGCCCCGAGCTCTCAGCAGAGGGTGCACCTCATCTTACGAGAGCCCCCTGGCCGTCCCTGTGTCCCGGGGACACCTGCCCATCTCGGCAGTGAGTGAACAGAGCTTGGTGCCCGCCTGGTGGGGCTCATCAGAGCTGCAAGGGGTTTGACCCAGCAGGACACAGCCCCTCCCTCAGGTGGCGGCCATGGGTGGAGAGGCTGGGCCCTCCAGGGTCAGGCACATATGGCCAACCTGGCCCTCCTGCCCAAGGCCTCAGTCTCTCTAGCTGCTCTCAGACCCCTGAGCCGCGGCGCCCCTCCCACCCCGCCCCGGCACCCCGGCCCCACCCAGGTCCAGGTGTGTGCTGTGCTGCCCCCTGGTGTGTGCTCTGGGTAGTGCAGCCTGAGACCCGTGAGGGGCGGTCATGGGCTAGGGGACACTTTCTGATGGGCGCTGGCCGTGTGCTTTCCAGGGGAGACTGATCAACTTCGAGAAGAGGAGGAAGGTGAGCAGACGCAGCCTCACGGGAAGGGGGCCCGTGTGGGGGGCGGGATCAGAGAGCCACCTGGCTAGAACGGCTGGCTCCGACCCCTCCCTGTTACAGTTTTGGGGAGAGCTGGATACAGAGAGAGGGGGAGCCTTTCCCACGGGAGGATGGGGCAGGAGGTCGAATCAAGGACACCTTCCCGGAGGGGCTGTTTGAACCTGGCTGTGAGGACAGGGTGGGAAGTGGGGACCCAGAGGCTGGCACAGGCCCGGCCGACCCAGACCGTCAGCGTCCCGTCCTCCCCTCTGGCCCCAGGAGTTCGAAGTGATCGCCCAGATCAAGCTGCTGCAGTCGGCTTGCAACAATTACAGCATCGCAGCCGAAGAGCACTTTGGGGCCTGGTTCCGGGCTATGGAGCGGCTCAGCGAGGCTGACAGGTGAGTCCGGGCAGGAGCTGGGGGGGCACACGCGGGCTGTCCCTGGGCAGCTCCGGAGAGCCTGTGGCTGGCGATCCTGGGCAGCCTCGGGTGCCGTCGCTGGTGACGGCCGGGCCCCTGGACTCTAGCTGCCGGGCAGGCACCGGGAGGGAGACCCGGGTGCGACTCCCCACAGCCGCCGCTTTGTCCTGTAGCTACTCCTTATCGTGTGAGCTGGAGCCCCCTTCCGAGTCGGCCAGCAACACCCTCAAGGTCAAGAAGAACACGGCCATCGTCAAGCGCTGGAGCGAGTTGAGTGCCGGGTGGGCAGGGGCGCGCCCTCGGGGCTCAGGGAAGCTTCGGGCTGCGAGTGGGCTCGGGAGTCAGGCAGCTGGCACTGGGATCCCAGCTCCCCCGCCGACAGCCCTGTGACTGGGCCACTTGCTCCACCCCTCTGGGCCTCAGTTTTTCCCCCTGTGAAATGGGGTGATGCTAAATGATCTGTCGGATGCTGGAGCCAACGGGGTGATTGCCTGAGCACTCGGCACAGAGTGCAGGGAACAGGGGTGGGCTGTGTCCCAGAAGAGGCCTCCCCTAAGTCAGCCAGCCCTTCCATTGCAGCCGCCAGGCCCCCAGCACGGAGCTCAGTACCGGCAGCAGCTGCCACTCCAAGTCCTGTGACCAGCTCAGGTGCGGCCCCTACCTCAGCAGCGGGGACATTGCCGACGCACTGAGTGTCCACTCGGCCGGCTCCTCCAGCTCCGATGTGGAGGAGATCACCATGAGCTTTGTCCCAGAGTCCCCTGACGGCCAGGAGAAGAAGGTGACTGCCCCACCCCCTCCCTGACAGCCCTTCTCAGCCCTTCCTAGGGCCAGAGTTCCCCGCTGCACACCAGAAGCCCCCGGAGCTGGACAGTGGCCCGGGGCTTCCACTGATAGTGCCGTCCCCGCAGTTCTGGGAGTGCACCTCCCAGTCGTCCCCGGAGACCTCCGGCATCAGCTCGGCCTCCAGCAGCACCTCGTCCTCCTCAGCCTCCACCACGCCCGTGGCCACCACGCGCACCCACAAGCGCTCCGTGTCAGGGGTCTGCAGCTACAGCTCCTCCCTGCCCCTCTACAACCAGCAGGTGGGCGACTGCTGCATCATCCGGGTGAGCCTGGACGTGGACAACGGCAACATGTACAAGAGCATCCTGGTGAGCCGGGCGGCGTCCCCGCGGGCCCCTCACTCTGCCAGGCAGCAAATCCGTATTGAACACCATGGGTCATCCCTGCCCTCCCAGAGCTGGTCTCCTGGTGGGTTGGGAAGGACAGAGGGCCAACCAGAGAAAGGAATGAAAACAGCTAGTGTGGGCTTCCCTGGTGGCGCAGTGGTTGAGAGTCCGCCTGCCGATGCAGGGGACGTGGGTTAGTGCCCCGGTCCAGGAAGATCCCACATGCCACGGAGCGGCTGGGCCCGTGAGCCATGGCCGCTGGGCCTGCGTTTCCGGAGCCTGTGCTCCGCAACGGGAGAGGCCGCAACAGTGAGAGGCCCGCGTACCGCAAAAGAAAAAAACAACAAAAAACCAGCTAGTGTGTCGATGGTGATCTGTGCCGGGGTGGTGGACTAGGGGTTTACAGCAGCAGTGGGGCAGGACCTCACCCATAAAGGGCCTGAGTGTGGGGGGAAGGAGGGAGCAGCGTGCAGCCTCCCAGGACAGGAGTGTGCCTGGGGCTTGGAGGAGAAGCAGGAGGTCTGCAGTGAAGGAGCAGGGGTCGGGGGAAGAGTAGGGCTCAGCAGAGCAGGCCAGCGTCGGGGGCCTGGATCTCACGCGAGACAGGTGGGAACACTGTTCGTTGGAGCACAGGAAGGGCAGCAGTGACTTCCGGCCTCTCCGTGGGCATTGGGCTGGTGCCGGCAGATGCAGGGCGGCCAGTTAGGAGGCGGCGGCTGCAATCCAGGGTGGGTAGCAATGGCTGCACCAGGCTGGTGGCCGCGGAGGCGGCCGGCAGTGTCAGACACCGGGGATCGTTGGAGGTGTCGAGATCTTGCCAGTGGGAGTTGCCCACAAACACTATGTATGTTGAGGGGGGGTTGGGGGCTGGGGGGACTCCTCTCATCCTCCAGAACTCAGGCTGCCAGTGAGCCATTTGCACCCCAGAATCCTCCCACACTGGGTCAGATGCCCCATTAACGCCGTCACCTGTGTCACCCCGAGTCTAAGGCCCGCCTGTGCTCTGGCCCTTGGGGTCGAGGCAGCAGGGCTCGGTCTGCACTCTCCACCACTGCAGCCTCCAGCCAGTGGAGGCCTGGCACATAGGCGGCCACTGGGCATCCAGCCAGCTGCTCCTCTCTCACCTCCAGGGCTGGGACTAGATGCCGTCTGTACCCAGGTGCAATGATACCGTTGTCCCGGATGGGCAGGGTCAAGGGGGACGGTTAGGGGGAGCAGCCCCGGGGGCAGGCGGTTGCCCTAGGTGGGTTTGGGAGGAGGTGGCAGGCTTGCAGGAGTTGGGGGGTAAGTGATCGGGGTCCATGGAGGCCTCCCCAGAGGGGCAGGAGAAGGAGGCGCAGCCCCCCTGGACCCAGCCTCGGGTCAGAGGCCGTGAGCCCCTGTGCGCACAGCGCCGAGGCAGCTCTGCGGGCGCTTGGCTGCTACACCCCGGACCCTCAAGCTACACCAGACCCTTGCCCTGATGGCCTGTCCCCCACCCCGTCCAGGTGACCAGCCAGGACAAGGCTCCAGCTGTCATCCGCAAAGCCATGGACAAACACAACCTGGATGAGGATGAGCCAGAGGACTACGAGCTGGTGCAGGTTATTTCGGACGATCGAAGTAAGTCAGGGCCGGTCAGGCGGGCGCTGGGGCCGGGTACAGGGAGCACCGTGCCCCAGGCCCACCACCCCGGAAGACGTGCCACCAGGGTGGGCCTGGGCTTTGTCCACACACAGACCTGCCTAGGGGCAGCTCTGGATGCCCCCAGTGTCTCCTCACTGGCCCCTGGTGGCTGCTGGGCCCTTGTCCCTTGCCCTTCCGTGGCCGTGAACAGTCAGTGGGAGACCTCGTTCAGTGCTAGCATCGTTGAGGAGGGGAGAGAAAAGGCTGTTCTCCTGGGGCCGGGCAGCCAGATGGCCGAGCCCACAGGCCGTACAAAAGGGCGTTTTCTGGCTAAGATGGGAAATGAGTGCTTCAGAAAAGATCACGACTACCGTGGACTAAAGCATCGAATTTGTGAAAATCCATGAACGTGTGACACTGTCTTAGTCCGTTCTGGCTGCTATAACAAAATACCACCACTGGTGGCTTCTAAATGACAGAGATTTATTTCTCCTGGTTCTGGAGCTAGAAGTCCAAGATCAGGGTGCCAGCATGGTCAGGTTCTGGTGAAGGCCCTCTTCTGGGTTGCCGGCGGCTGACTTCTCACTGTGAACCCAAATGGTGGAAGGGCGTGGGGAGCTCTCTGGGGTCCCTTTCATAAGGGCACGAATCCCATTCGTGGGGCTCCACCCTGATGACCTAATGGCCTCCCAAAGGCCTCACCTCCTAATCCCATCACATTGGGGGTTAGGATTTCAACAAATTTAGAGAGGACACCAACTTTCAGCCCATAGTAGATACTAAACACAGAGGCTACTAGGGAGCAGCTGGGTATTCTAAAAACTGGGAAGGGAAAGGATCGAAAACAAGCACAGACTTGGAACCAGACAGCTACGACTTGTAGACCTCGGGCAAATCCCTTAAGTCCTCTGTGCCTCTTTTCCCATTCCCACAATGGAGATAAAATAGGTAGTGAGTTGATCCATATATACATGGATTATATGCTCATGTGTGTACGTGTGCCGTAGACGTGCCATAACTGCAAAGATTATCATCACTCTTTCCTTTCCCATGAGGTGATCCCGCATTCACAGCCATTACCCAGACAGTTAGCAGTGACCCGCCACGATCGCTAGAAGTTGTTTTCTAAATCCTCTCTTACCTTGTTGCACCATTTTGGTGAGGTAAGCAAGGCAGGTGGGACCCCCATCTTACAGAAAAGGAAGCTTGAGACCTAGACAGGTTAAGGACCAGAGTAAGAGCCACACGATGGAGCCCAGAGCACACATGTTCCAGCCCAGCAGTGGAGAGTAACAGGCTCAAGCCCAGAGGAGAGGGTGGGAAACAGAGCCAAGAGCAAGTACCTGCTGGGATCCTGGCACCCTATGAAACCCTGTGCAGGAGGCCTGGGGCAAAGCCCGCCCTTAACTTGGCCCCAGAGCCCTTGTCCTGAGTTGTGCAGGGTTCCGGGGAGGTGATCTAGGTTCTAGAAAGCTTATTGCAGTTGGACCTCCCGATCAGTGAAGGCAGCAGGGGGCAGGATGGGATGACCCTTTGCCAGCTGCAGACTGAGGTGGGGCTTCCTGGAGTCGGAGTCCTTTTTATTTTTATTTTTATTTTATTTTTATTTTTATTTGTGGCTGTGTCAGGTCTTTGTTGCTGCACACAGGCTTTCTGTAGTTGTGGCAAGCAGGGGCTACTCTTCGTTGTGGTGCGCGGGCTTCTCATTGCGGTGGCTTCTCTTGTTGCAGAGCGCAGGCTCTAGGTGCACAGGCTTCAGTAGTTTTGGCACTCAGGCTCAGTAGTTGTAGTGCATGGGCTTAGTAGTTGTGACGCGCAGGCTGTAAGGTACGCGGGCTTCAGTAGTTGTGGCGCATGGACTTAGTTGTTCCACGGCGTGTGGGATCTTCCCGGACCAGGGCTCGAACCTATGTCCCCTGCGTTGGCAGGCGTATTCTTAACCACTGCACCACCAGAGAAGTCCCCAGAGTCCTTTTTGTTTTTGAGTTCCTTTTTTCTTTTTTTTTTTTAAATTAATTACTTATTTATTTTTGACTGTGCTGGGTCTTCGTTGCTGCGTGCAGGCTTTCTCTAGTTGTGGCGAGAGGGGCCTACTCTTTGTTGTGGTACGCAGGCTTCTCACTGCGGTGCCTTCTCTTGTTGCGGAGCACGGGCTCTAGGCGTGCAGACTTCAGTAGCTGCGGCACACAGGCTCAGTAGTTGTGGCTCGCGGGCTCTAGAGCACAGGCTCAGTAGTTGTGGCGCACGGGCTTAGTTCCTCCACGGCATGTGGGATCTTCCCAGACCAAGGATCAAACCCTTGTCTCCTGCATTGGCAGGCGGATTCTTAACCACTGTGCCACCAGGGAAGTCCCTCAGTGCCTCAGCAGAGTCTGTCCCAGGCAGGTGTCATTAAGGGGGGTCCTTAGTGGTCCTGGAGTTGCATTGAGGGGTCTCAGGTGTCTGGATCAGGCCTGCCCTCCTGGGGGCTCTCAAGTGGTGGGGTGTCCAGTGGGGCCCGCATAAGCACAGCTGACCCTCTGCCCCTCCCCGACCAGAGCTGAAGATCCCTGACAACGCCAACGTGTTCTACGCCATGAACTCTACTGCCAACTATGACTTTGTCCTAAAGAAACGGACCTTCACCAAGGGGGCAAAGGTCAGGCATGGAGCCAGCTCTACCCTCCCACGCATGAAGCAGAAGGGACTCAAGATTGCCAAGGGCATCTTCTAACTTGTCCCTAGCTGGCCAGCCACAGAGCCGCCCTTTCCAGGGTCTAGCTGGCTGGGCAACTAAGCACTTACAGACTACAGTGGCTCAGGCCAGGTGGGCACCTGCGCCCAAGCTGCCAGCCCAGGCCACCCCCAGACTCCAGTTTCACCCTGAACCTCTCCTGCTGCCGGGATTGACGCCTGCCCGTCGATGGCTGACCTGGCCTCCCCTGGACCACTCGCTGCCTAAGGTGCCTTCTGCTCTCTGGAACCAGAGGACGAGCTGACTTTTGCCAAGGAGCGCTGCCAATGGGCAGGGAGCCCTGCATGCCGCCGGGCACTGCCCTCCGTACACTTCCCTCACACCTTCCCAGGTGTGGGCCACTGCCACCTGTGCCCATGGGCACCCCAGGGCACTACTCATCCACCGGGTCTGACCACTGCAGTTCTCTCCTCCCACCATCGTGGCCTTCCTCAGGCTGCACCAAAGATTCCATCATCAGGGCCAACTGAAAGGGAGGGAGTCTCGCCCACTGCCCACTCCAGCCCTCCCCTGGCAGAGGAGAGAGACACCCCCTTCACGGACCACACTCTTAACCGGTGAGTGAGGACGGTCTCGGCCAAGTCCCACTGATGTCAGATTTCGTGACACTGCAAGTGCCATCCACCACTGTATCCTGGGCTTTACAAGACCACACGAGACGGGGATTGGTGGGCAAGGAGGGTTTCGGGGGGAGGGGAGGGGGATTGAATATTTGTATAAAAGGTGAAAAAAAATGTTTACCAGTTGGGGAGGGGCAATATTTATTTGTTGTAAATAGCAAATGCTAGACTTGAATATTATATTAAAATCCTGTTTCTACTATAGCCTGGGAGCTGTGGTATTGTTCTTTCATTGCCTGTGCTCATTGAAGTGAGATACAGACTCTCACATTCCATGTTCAAATAGGAAGTCTTGCAGGGTTATTGGTTTATTTTACACAGGAAATAAAGAAGGGCAGGAAAAGCAAGAAGGGCCAGCCACCCTTCTCTGGCTCACTTAAGGAAACAGAGAAGTCCACCTTTCACAGAGCAGATGTTCACTTCAGTATCATTAAACTGGGCCATGAGCTGAGACAGCCCCTTAGAACCCCTGGTATTTGAATTTGGAAGCGCTTTCACACAGCATAGCAGCAACCTGTGGAATTCCAGTGTTTTTAAAAACAACGTTTTGGGGACTTCCCTGGTGGCGCAGTGGTTAAGACTCCGCACTCCCAGTGCAGGGGGCCCGGGTTCGATCCCTGGTCAAGAAACTAGATCCCACACGCATGCCGCAACTAAGAGTTCGCATGCCACAACTAAGGAGCCCGCGTGCCACAGCTAAGACCCAGTGCAACCAAATAAATAAATATTTTTTAAATAAATAAAAATAATGTTTTTAACAGAAAATGGTGGAGTAAAGATCAGTCTCTCCATGGAAACAACAATGAAGCTGGGGAAAAAAAACTATCAGAATCAACAATTTTGGGACTCTGGAACCTCATCAGACACAACAACCAGGAGAGTGCTTGATGAAGGGTGACGGCTGCTGAACTTCAGCTGTTAAGGAAATCTCTGTCAGGTCACACACTGACCCCCTGAGACAATGGGGCAGAAGCTGCCGTGACTACACAACAAGGAATATAGGCCTTGCAAAAACAGTTTGGGAAAGTCACTACAGAAACGGAAGACGGCAGCCCTCAAGCCACAGAAGCGATCCCTGAGGAGGGGGAGAATCTGATTTCCAGAGTTACGATATTATAATTCTCAATATCCAGGTCTCAACAAATCACAAAGTGTATCAAGAAACAGAAAAATAGGGCTTGTTCACAGGAAGAAAAAAAAAAAGAATTGGACAGAAACTATCCCTGGAGGCTCAGACATTAAAATTACGAGTCAGAGACATTAAGTCAGCTGTCTTGAATGTGTTCGGCGAGCGAAAAGGAGCCACGGACAAAAAAAACTAAAGGAAATCAAGAGAACAATGTAAGAACGTGTAGGGAATTTAGTAAAGAGATAGAAATTATAAAAATAAACCAAGTGGAAGTTCTGGATCTGAAAAGTACAATAACTGAAATGAAGAACTCACTGGAGGGGTTCAGTGGCAGATCTGAGCAGTCAGAAGAAAGAATCTGTGAACTAAGGCAGTTGACATTATTCTGCCTGAGGAGCAGAAAGGAAAAAGAATGAAGAAGATTGAACAGACCCAGAGGGACTGTGGGGACACCATCCAATGTAACTGCATATGCATAAAGAGAGTCCCAGAAGGAGAGAGATTATTTGAAGAAATAATGGCTGAAAACATCTCAAATTTGATCAAAGACATAAATCTACACATTAAGAAGCTCAGTGAACTCCAAGCACGATAAACTCAAAGAGAGCCACACAAGACACATTACAACACAACTGTTGAAAGACAAAAAGGAAATCTTGAAAGCAGCAAGAAAGAAACAATCATGTGCAAGGGGTGGGGTGGGGTCCCTCCACAATAAGATTAACAGCTGATTTTTTTCATTAGAAACCATGGCAACCAGAAGGCCGTAGAGTAACATAGTTAAAGTGTTGAAAGATGAGAATTCCCTGGTAGTCCAGTGGTTAGGACTGTGTGCTTCCACTGCAGGGGGCACAGGTTCAATCTCCAGTCAGGGAACTAAGATCCCGCATGCCAAGCGGTGTGGCCAAAAACAATAGAAAATAAAGTGTTGAAAGAAAAAGAATTCTGTACGTAGTAAACTCTCCTTTAAGGATGAAGGGAAATTAAGATGTTGCCGGATAAACAAAGTTAAGGCAGTTTGTTTTTAATAGTCCTGCCTACAAGGAGTGCTAAAGGGAGCCTTTTGGGTTGAATGAAAGAGCACTAGACTGTAACTCCAAGCCATGTGAAAAAGTAAAGAACACTAGGTGAGGTAACTAATAGGTAATTCTAAAAGCCTGTATTGTTGCACTTTTGTTTGTACCTTTTCTTTTTTTTTCTATATGACTTAAAACGCAGATTCATAAAACAATAAGTGTAAGTGTGTTAATGGGAACAGAATGTATAAAGACATAACCTGTGACAACAACCACATAAAGGGGGAGGGATGGAGATCAGAGGAGCTGCATGTTCGTATACTACTGAAACTAATTTGGTATTATTCAGACTAGACTGTTACGAGTTTAAGATGTTCCTTGTAATCCCAAAGGCACTCAGTAAGAAAATATGTTTTTAGAAATACACAGGAAAGAAAGGAATCAAAATGGTGCACTATTAAAAAAAGATCAACCAAAGGAATTCCCCAGCGGTCCAGTGATTAGAACTCTGCACTTTCACTGCCGAGGGCCCAGGTTCAGTCCCTGGTCAGGGAACTAAGATCCCACAAGCTGCGAGGTGTGGCCAAAAACAAAATTTTTTTTTTAATTAAAAAAAAAATCAAATCCTTAAAAAGCAATAGTGGTGGAATTGAGGAACAAAAAGTGTAGAAGACATACAGTTATACAAACAAATAGCTAAATGGAAGAAGAAAATGCTTATCTGTAATTACTATAAATGTAAATGGGTTAAACTCTCCAATTAAAAGTCAGAGTGATAAAATGGATTTTTAAAAAAACCTGATCCACCTATCTACAAAGATATGAAAAAGTTGAAATAAAGGATGGAAAAGGATAGTCTGTGAAAATAGTAAACAAAAGGTAGCTGAACGGCTATGTTATTATCAGACAAAATAGACTAAGTCAAAAAGGTAACAAGAGAGAAAGTATATATCGCTTAAAGATTCAATCCATCAAGAATATAGAACAATTGTAAACATATACACATCTCCAAAACACATGAAGCAAAAATGGATGTAATTGAAGAGAGAAATAGACGGTTGGAGACTTCAGACCTCACTTCCAATAATGACTAGAACAACCAGACAGAAGACCAGTAAGGAAACAGGGCTTGAACAACCCCAGACATCAGATGAGACCTAGCTAACATGTATAGAATATAACAGAGAACACACCTTCTCAAGAACACGTGGCGTGTTCTCAAGCATAGACCACGTATTACACCACAAAACAAGTCTCAGTAATTTTTAAAAGATTGAAATCATACAAAGCATCTTTTCCAATCACAGTGGAATAAAGCCAGAAATCTACAGGAGAAGAAAGCTGGAATACTCATAAATATGTGAAAATTAAACAACACACTCTTTAACAACCAGTGGGTCAAAGAAGAAGTCACAGGGATATTAGAAAATGCCTTGAGATGAAAGGAATCAAAACCAATGTACCAAAAACTTATAGGACGCGGCAAAAGTAGTACAAAGAGGAAATTTTACTCCTGTCAATGCCTACATTACAAAATAAGATTTCAAATCAGTAACCTAACTCTACACGTTAAAGAACTAGAAAAAGAGCAGACTAAACCCAAAGCTAGCTGAAGGAAGGAAATAATAAAGATTATAGGGGAGAGAAACAAAACAGAGGAGTAGAAAAACAGAGAAGATCAACAAAACCAAAAGTTGGTTCTTTGAAAAACAATCAGTGAAATTAACAAACCTCTAGCTAGATTGACTAAAGAAAAAAAAGGGGAAAAAGACATTCAAATGACTAAAACCTGAAACGAAGGTGGGAACATCACTACCGACTTCACAGAAATACGGATTATGAGAGAATACTGTGCACAATTGTACGTCAACGGTATGCATAGGAATGTTATTCAGACGTAAAAAGAAATGGAGCTCTGATTCATGCTACAACGTGGATGGACCTTGAAAACACTGATTCCACTTGTAAGAAATATCTGGAACAGGCAAATTGATTGGAACAGAAAGTAGAAGAGATTACTGGGGTGTAGGTGGGGGGGAATGGGGAGTTAATGGGTATAAAGTTTCTATCTGGGGTGATGAAAAGTTTTGGAAATAGTGGTGATGGTTGCACAATAGTGTGAATAGAATTAATGTCACTGAATCATACTTTTAAAAATAAAATATTTGGGGCTTCCCTGGTGGTCCAGTGGTTAAGAATCTGCCTTCCAATGCAGGGGACGTGGGTTCAATCCCTGGCCGGGGAACTAAGATCCCCACATGCTGCAGGGCAACTAAACCTGTGGGCCACAACTAGAGAGCCTGCGTGCCGCAACTGCTAAGCCCACGCGCTCTGGGGCCTGCGCACCACAACTAGAGAGAAGCCCGAGAGCCGCAATGAAGACCTGACACAGCCAAATAAATAAATAAATAATAAATCTTTAAATAAATAAATAATCTATTTAATAATTTAATATTTAAATAAATGTTTGTTTATAAAATTAACATTTTTATGTTATATATATTTTTATCCCAGTTTTTTAAAAAATAACTTCCTCCCAAGCTGCTTTTCTTTTTTTTTCTTATTGGCAAAATATTTTTTTAAAATTAATTTTTATTGGAGTATAGTTGATTTACAATGTTGTGTTCGTTTCTGCTGCACAGCAAAGTGAATCAATTATACATATATCCACTCTTTTTTAGATTCTTTTCCCATATAGGTTATTACAGAGTACTGAGTAGAGTTCAGAATGCTATACAGTAGGTTCTTGTTAGTTATCTATATTATATATAGTAGACTGGGATTGACATATACAAGCTGATTTCTACAGCTTTCCAGGAAGAGGGAGCATTTTCTCCTTGTCCTGTAAGAGTGTCTTGACCACCAGTCTACCACTTGTAGATTTCAAGGTCAAACTCTGGAATTTCATCAGCAGTAAGTGGGGAGAAATTGTCAACAGATCAAAAAGTGCAATGTGGGAAGGAACAGGCCAGGGGGTCATTATTAGCCAGTGGACTATGGACATCAGGGGACTCTGCATCCTCCAGGGCCCTGTGATCGACCCTTGACCTCCTGGAATCCTTGCCTCTGACATCAGAATTCCTTTTCCTGCTGGTTTCACGTCGGGGGCAGGGAAGTGTTTGTGATGCAGCTTTTAAGGCTGCAGCTGGGCCTCGTTCCTTAAGCATTTCTGCTCTTGTGAACTAGGATTTCCAGCAACTCTAGGATTTTCTGCAACTCTTCACACAATTGATTTCACCCAGAAACTCACTAGAAGGCGTCCTGCCTCTCTCTGTCCGGCATGTGGTGGCCACTCATCTGGGCTGGCGTCTGATGAATCCCGGGTGAGTGCTGGTTTGCCAGGGTAAGGAGACTGATTCCTGCCAGTGAAGGACCCCTGCATTGTCCCTCTGTAGCCAAGATAAAGTCGGAGGCCGTGTGGTTCTGAGGTCCACCGTCTTACACAATCACCAGTTTACAAAGGCAGTTGTGTTGGTACTGACTATGTCCTAAAGGCTAGCTGGGCCGGAGCCCTTAGAGCTTGCAGAGTCCCCCAGAATGGCTGCGTTTTTTGTCCAAGTCTGTGTTGTGGTTATGTCACGGGGAGGGGGGTTGTTTGAACCTCTCCCGCGGGGAAGGTTGAAAGATGAGGCATGGGGGCGGGGAGGGGGGTTGCCCCCAAGACTGCCAACCCACAGACACGCTTGGGCACAGCCTTGCCGACGACATACTGAAGCACCACGTCTCGTCAGGGTGGTAAACAGACTCTGACCTGAGCTCACCTGCGTGTTCCCCCGGGGCTTCATCATGAGAGGAGTTAAAGGGTTACCACTTGGCCCATCAGGGAGCCTCCAGGACTCTGGACAGGCCTCTGGCCCGCACCTTGGTATTTTCAGCTTCATCCCCTGGATAAAGCCTGGAAAGGCAAGAGCCAGACGAATTACGAGGCGTCTCCCCAAGTTGTCCCGACGGCTGCGGGTGTCACCCAGACACACAGCAGGGCTCGCCCCTGCCAGGGAGGCCCGTGCAGCCTAGGGACTGAGCACACACCTGGATGCCGGCCATTGTGACGTGGCCCAGCCATCCAGGGACGTGATTTCCTGAATGATGGGCACAACTGTTCTCTCCCCCAGCAAGGGAGAGAAGTACCGCGTTGCAGCACTGTCCAGGCCCAGAGGAGGCTCCTGAGAGCAGACCCAGCAGGTAGAAACACTTACAGAAGTCACGTGCGTGCAGAGCAGGGATACATTGCATCCTTGGGCTCCATCGGCCGAGAGCAGGGCTAGTGACCAGGAGAGCCCACGCCGCAGCGAGGGGCTGTCTCCTTCCGTCCTTTACACCCGACCAGGCCAGGAAGCCCAGAGCCGCCAAGGTGGTCACAGGCCAGCCCGGGGTGACCCCTGCTCCTCGGGGGGCCAGGTTTGCCCCCTGTTCAGCTCTGCTGCGTGGGGCTGCAGGACTCGCTGCCCGGGCTCAGCCTTCCATCTGTTGCTGGAGAGGGAGGGTGGCCGGCTGACCCCCGGTGCTACTGCACCCACTCCCCCCACCCCCCGCCCCCAGGCTGAGCTGCTCAGGACTCCGGAATCTCTGATCCCTCACCCCCACCCCACAGTGACTGAAGAATGGAGGGGAGCGGGGAGAGGAAGCCCCAGCATTGTTGCAAGCACTGGCTGTGGAGTGTCTGGGTTTGAATCTTGCTCTGATGACCTTGGGCATGTGCCTGGGCTAGACTCCCAGAGGTGGAGATGACCCCGACTCTGACCTCTGCCTCCTCCCCCCCCGACTCTGCCAGAGACATCGGGCGCTGCCCAACGCCCAGTTCTCTTGCACCCTTTGCTTCTGATCCTTCCAGTGCAATGCTTTACCCTCTCACTGACTCGCCTCCAGCTGGAGGCAGACTGTAGTTAGAACACAGAGGCCCCTGCCCGCACCCCACAGGACCTGGCCGTGGCTGGGCTCCACTGGTCCAGAGGCGGCCACCGCCTGCAGAGCCCCGCCCCTCGGAGCCAGCAGCCTTGTGTGGAGGGATCCACGCCAGAATCCTAGCCCTGGCCCTGACGCTTCACTTCTTTGAACCTGTTTCCTCCTCTCCAAACTGAGGATGGTCCTGTCGGCTTCCTGGAGCTTGAGGGCTGACAGATCAGGGTGAAACCCTTGGGCCGGGCTCCTGGTGCTGTCATGAGAGCTGAGGGCCCCCCTTCCTCCAGCTGGGTCTTGGGAGCAAAAAGAGATGCCAGACAGAGAGGGATGAAGCTTTATTTAGGAAGAGCTTGGGAGGGAAGGTGGGCCATGGGGTCACACCCTGTGGCCTCTGGAGGCCAAGGACATTAGAAGCCAATGACTATGGGCATCTGAGCCACCTCAGAGTCGCCCGCGGTGGGCGCGGGGGTGGCCTCAGAGTCGCCCACGGTGGGCGCGGGGGTGGCCTCAGAGTCGCCCGCGGTGGTGGCCTCAGAGTGGCCCGCGGTGGGCGCGGGGGTGGCCTCAGAGTCGCCCGCGGTGGTGGCCTCAGAGTGGCCCGCGGTGGGTGCGGGGGTGGCCCCCTCGCTGGTCACCGTGGGCAGTGCCTTGTAGGTCACGGTCCAGTACTGCAGGTAATCGGCCCTTAGGTGCTGCTTCATGGAGCTGCCATCCATCTTCTTGTTGATTTCCAGGTAGTTGCCACTTTCCAGGGTGTAGGGATCCCAGTGCGTGGGCACAGGCGAGTGGCCCATGTTAGGGTCCCTGCAGAGTGAGAAAAAAAGGCTGGGTAGCTGGCTGGGGCCCAGGGGCTCACGGCAGGCTGGAGACCCAGGTCCCTGGCCCGGCTCTGCCCCGGCTCTCCTGGGCAGTTCTCCATCCTTTGCCCCGTAAGCACTTCCCTGTCTCCTGGGCACTGGCTGGGCACGTGCGCATCCTGAGGCCCAGCCAGGAGCTCTGAGCCTTACACAGACGGGGGTACCGAGGCTCAGGGAGGTTAAGTGTAAGTGAGGGAACAGGGACTGGACCCCAGCCCTGCAGGGCAAGGTGGCAGGAGGCCACCCTCACCGCTGCCTTACCCAGTTCTGGCAAAGTTGGTCCAGTAGGCGATCATGGCCTTGGAGACGGTCCTGTCTTGGGGCCGGTAGCCCAGCGGGGTGGCAAAGGGCTTCCCGAAGACGTACTGGAGGTCGTCTGCATGATCAGCCCCCACCCAGCGGGGGTAGGTGGGCATCCGAGACGGTTGGGAGAATAGGTAGCTGTAGGTCTTGGCGCTCCTGAGGAGGGCAGTGGAGACCACCCACGTTGGCAGGGTGTTCACCTGGGGCCGCCCGCCCCGGAGATGGGGCCCCAGGGGAAGGCCATGGGGAGAGCAGGGAAGGGTCTGGGGAATTCCCACAAGACTCGGAAGGGGAATTCCCTGGTGGTGCAGTGCTTACGACGCGGCGCTTTCACTGCCGAGGGCTCGGGTTCAATCCCTGGTCGGGGGACTAAGATCCCGCAAGCCACGTGGTATGGACAAAATAAATAAATAGATAAATACATATAAAGTATTTTTTTAAAAAAGGCTCAGGAAGGATCTGGATCATTACACCTGGGGGAAGGAAAGCTGTGGCCAAATTCATGACCTCATGGGTTCTACAATTTCAATTGTATTTATTCTTCGCCTCCACCGAACATAGGGAGGCGCCTTCCTTTCATAATTCAGTATCAAGAAAGATTGTTTTTGTGACTTCCGTGGCGGTCCAGTGGTTAAGACTCCACGCTTCCACTGCAGGGAGCACGGGTTCAGTCCCTGGTCAGGGAACTAAGATCCCGCGTGCTGCACGGCACAGCAAAAAAAAAAAAAACAGATTCTTTTTCTCTGCAAGTGAATTTGTATTCTTGATTTGATTGGACAAGGTAATATATGCCCTCAGATGTTTCCCTTTTTGCTTTGACTGATAGGAACCTCAGAGCTAAATTTATTGCAAAGCTTTCATCCCAGACTTCTAGGTATAATTTTATCTTTCTGCTTTTTAAGCATTCCTAACTTGTTTTTTATTTTCACCGGCTATTATTATGTGGAGGTTTTTGATGTGGCCACAGGCTTATTTTGAAAGTTGGCAAATTCGAAACCCACAGCAGAGAACATCACCCAGTGTTGCCCTCCTTCTACACAGCATGAGGGATGGAAGGCAGACTCAAGGACTTTCCGATGGGGAGAGCTATGGGGTGTGGGAGAGCGTGCAGGGCTGCACTGGGCAGAGGCTCACAGGAGGGTTTTGTTAAGCCCTCAAGGCTGGGAGGGGAAGAGGGGTCCTCTCAAGCCCCGTCAGGCCTGGTAGATGGTGCAGGCACAGGCGGGGACTGAGCATGCCTTTCCCAGCCCTCTCGGACACCTGGGAGCCACCCACCTGCCAGACCTCGCTGGCAAGGTGCGTGATCCCAGGTGGGCCAGCCCCGCGCCCCCCTCCTCACTTGGCGTTGGTCTTGTGCTGGGCCACGGCGATCTCCGTGGGCATCAGGAAGAGGATGTCGGTCTCCAAGTGCACCACGGTCTTCTTCTTGTTCTCCTGGGACGAGTCTCGGGCCCAGGGCTTGGTGTAGAAGTCAAAGGTGGTGTTGGCACCCCTGGGCCCCTTGGTGATGGTGAACCCGCTGACCAGCTTGTAGAAGTCCTCCCTGCAGAGTCCAGGCTGACACTGGATCCTCCACCCCATGCCCACAGGAGGGTATCTGCACCCCTATACCACAGAAGGCCACGGGCGACCCCCCCCCATCCCTGCCACGGTGCTCCCTTCCTCATTCTGTCGATGCCTCCCCCAGCTGCCCCGGGGCACCGTCCCTGTGCCACCACCCCCCTTACTCTGTGATGGCCCGTTTGTCCTTGTTGATGGCCGGCATCTCCACGCTGGCGAAGACGTGGGCGTCCATGTCGTTGGTGCCTGCTATGTAGTCAATGTCCGCAGCGTTGGCATACAGGTTGATGGGGTCACTGGGGAGGAAGTCTCCGTCGACGACAGGGAGGAAGCCCAGGTAGTTTACCAGGGGGTCTGGGGGGGAGCGGGGGAGAGCAGCAGGTTTTCACACCTTCCGGTACCCACCTGCCCTGCCCCTCAACCTCCGGGACAGGAGCTGACTCCATCCTGAGGCCGCGGTGGAGATCTGCCTCCTTTGATGGAGACCAGGGCTCCTCGCGACTGACATTCGGGCCCGATCGTTCTGTCGTAGGGGCCGTCCTGCACAGTGCAGGGTGTTCAGCAGCCTTCCTGGCCTTGGCCCACGGGACACCAGGTAACACCCTCTCCCCAGCTGCGACCACCAAAAGTGTCTCCAGACTGCCACGTGTTCCCCGGGCACAAAATCGCCCAGGTTGAGAACCACTGGTCCAGGGACCAAGACTGTCCTCTCGCTGCAGCTGATGTCCCTTGCCTGTCCCTCTTTTCTTGCTGGGCCTAAATCAGGGGGGAGGAAGACCTCGAAATCATGGAGGGGACCGATGGAGAAAGAGTGCCCCCTCTCCGCGCTGGGTTCCAGTGTGTTAGCCGGAAATGGCGCGAGACCCCTGAACTGGCCCGGAAAGGACCATATGGCTGGCTTAGGGCAGAGGGTTGTCCTGCCTTCATTAGGCCTGGCCCGTTTTCCCTCCAGTTCAGCTCAAAAGGAAATAGAGTCGCATTTCTGCAAATCCATGGGTATTGCTACCAGGACACCAAAATCCAGGTGCTCAAGTCTCTTATATAAAATGGTGCAGTGTTTGCATATAACCTACCCACGTTTACCTGCATACTTTAAATCATTTCTAGATTACTTATAATACTTAATACAATGTAAATGCTATGTAAATAGTTGTAAATGCCATGCACACGTTATGTGAATAGTTGCCAGCGAGAGGCAAACTCAAGTTTTGCTTTTGGGAACTTCCTGGAATTTTTTTTTTTAACGTTTTCCATCTTCAGTTGGTTGACTCCCCAGATGCGGAACCCTCAGACATGAAGTTGGTTTGCATTTGGGGCCATGTTGTTTGCTTTGGTTTCCTTTTGCCTAGCACTTATGGTTTAATTCACATTAGGTAAAATACAAACGATGGGGTCCCATCATGCTTTGCCTTAGAAGAAGGAGCAAGAGAGAATTCTCCCCTACTGGGCTGATGAGACTGACACTCATAGGATTTTGCTGCTGGGGTCCCCCTGACCTTCCTGGGGTACAGAGTAGCAGAGCTGGAAGGGCCAAATGCTACAGCGGGTGTTCAGGAAATGTTGTTGAACGAATGAGTGGAGGAAAGAATGAATGTTCGTCTAGTACAGAGGCTCTTGGTCTGGGGTCCACGAGTCTGTCAAAACTTGTGTACAGATGACTGCACATGTGTGCGTTGTTGGGGGAATGGAGACCAAACATTCTTCAGCTTCTCGAAGGGGTCGTGACCCACCGAAGACAAGAGGAAAGAACGGCCCCTCCTCCCCTTACGGCCGAGGCCACTGAGGCCTGCAAGGGCAGTGGTGGCAGCAGGCTGCCTGGGGACGCCAGCGAGCTGGCGACAGAGCCAGGATCAGACCTGGCGCCCAATGTGGAGCCCCCGTGTCCCCCGCCCAGCAGCCCCTACTCACACTCCATGCCGGCCAGGGGCAGCTTATAGGCCAATGTCAGGGCACGGGGGTCAGTGACCTTCAGACACCTGGCCATCCTGCCAGTATCGTTCAAGGGACAGCCCACCTTCTCTGCGATCTGGGGGTTGGGGAGAGGCGGTGCTCAGGGCAGAGAACACGGGGTCCAGGACAGAGAGTGGAAAGGAGGAAGGCTCCTCCCCCCCCACAGCTCCTCCTTTTACCTTTTTGGCCCAGAAGAGGGGGTTCTTCTGGATGGCCCAGGGGCACAGTGCCACACCACTCTGGCTGATGGCTCTCTTGATGAGGCCCTTGTTGTAGGGAGAGAGGGTCTGCAATACACAGAGGTCCTGTCACCAACCTCGCCCACCCCCGACCCCCGTCTCCAGGGCTCGGCCAAGGACACCCCACACGTCAGCTCCAGCCCCCCTACTCCCTATCTGCATCACCCCCTCCCACACCTTAGGGGTCCCCAGACCTGCAGAGAGACGCTGGCCCCTCCGGCTGATTCCCCAAAGATGGTGATGTTGTCAGGGTCTCCCCCAAAGGCTGCAATGTTCCTCTTCACCCAAGCGATGGCCATGTGCTGGTCCCGAAGGCCATAGTTACCTGGGGACAGGGCAAGGGCCTTCAGCGGGGACCCTCGGCCCAGACCGGGGTGCTAGGGGCCTGGCCCACACAAGGTGCGCTGTCCGTGTGGGTGGGATGAGCACGTCCCTGACTGTGCGGAGACCCTCTGGAGCCCCAGGATGTTACGTCCTGCAGCGTCCCCAGGAGGCTGGCGGGCTGGGAGCTGTGGGAGCGGGTCCCAGGCTCGGGAAGGGGCGCGGAGGGCCAGGGCCGCTCAGCTGTCTCCCGCTGGGCCACACTCCCTCTCGTCTGTCCTGGGGCTTCCGTGTCCCGAGTCACTGCCTCGGTGTCCCAGCCCCTGTCTCTTTCACTTGCCTCCCTGCCCCTCCCCGCGGCGCTCTCTGGGTCTGGCTGGCAACCTCTTCTCTTTGGCTACAGCTGTGTCTCACGGTCCAGCTCCAGCTCCCTCACTCTGCAGATAGGATTCTGGGCCTTTCTAGGGGGACGTCGGGAGTTGTTTCAGAACAAGGGTTGCCGAGGGGCGTCCCCGCTGGGCTCAGAGCTTGGGGGCTGGGCACGCTCACTCCCACACCCAGTGTGCCCGATGCCCGGCAGACCTGGCAGGTTGGAGTCTCCGGTGCTGAGGAAACCCAGGGGGCCGACGCGGTAGTTGAAACTGACCACGATGACGTTGCCCCGAGTGGCGATCTCCTCCCCGTCGTACAGGTAGTTGCTGAGGAAGTTGGCCCCTTGGCTGGACCCCACGAGGAAGCCACCTCCGTAGATCCAGACCATGACGGGCAGGTTCCGGGAGACTGAGGGCGGGGGAGCAGGCCCGGGGACCCCAGATGAGCCCCCTCCCCGCTCTGTGCTGATGTCAGGGAAGTTCAGCTCTGAAGCCCCCAGACACAACCCAGGGGCAGGGACCGGGCCTCTGGCTACTTGGGGGCTTCCTGCAGGGCGAGGGGAGCTGGAGGGTGTGTGGGGAGAGCAGACCTTCCTTCCTGCCCTGGGGGACCCAGATGTTGAGGTAGAGGCAGTCCTCTTCCCCGTAGGTGCTGTCCTGGGTGATGGTGGCCTGCAGGCATCGCTTCTTGAAGCCCTTGGCCTTCAGGGTTCCTGGGGACGGCCGGAGGGGTTGGGGTGAGGATGGGCCCACCAGCCACAGGGCCTGCCCCACCCTCACCCACTGCCACCTTGCCAGCCGGGGTGTCGCTGTGGGTTCTCCAGGGGCTTGGGGGCGGCGGCATAGGGGATGCCCTTGAAGATGTCGACATAGTTGCCAAAGAGGCCCAGCTTCTTGTTGACTCCTTCCACGAAGCCGCCCTCCGTGTACACGGCACCCAGCTGGGATGGGAGGCGGGAGATCAGGGGGGCTTGGGCTGGTCAGCCCCTGGGGGCAGGGAGCCCACCCGCAGGCCCCGGGTGCCCAGAGGCTCCCCAGAGACAGCTTCAAGGAGGGGCCCATCTGCACCTGAGACCGAGGCCCCTGCCACCTGCGCCCATTGCTTGAGGAGGGTGCTCACTCCCCACTCGCCCCCTGGGTGTCCTGCTCCCTGAATCTCAGAGGAGCCTGGTTCAAGCAGTGTGTCCTCAGGAAAGCCTTCCAAGAAGGCCGGGACAGGTGGGGTGGAGGTTTGGATTCTTGCTGTGGCCGCCTATACCCTTGAGCCTCAGTTTCCCCTCCTGTAAGATGGGTGACGACAGTATCTCCCTCGTGGCCCGTTTGCTTGTCCAGCTGCCAGCAGTGACAGGTGCACCGCGGACACTGAATGTTTCACGCCCAGCCGTGCGCTCCCTGAGCGGTGGGCCCGTCTTTCTCCTCCGCTCATCTCCCCCAACGGTGTCCCCTCAAGTCCTCACAGCCCCTGTGCTCCAAGCCGGGAAAGAACCCTGCCCCCCAAGGCCGCCGGCACCGCTGCTGCATATCCAGCCCTTGTGCGGAGCCGGCCCCCCAAGGACCAATGCGTCCAGTCCTCACCAGCATCCCGGGGGCTGGTACTCATCTACCCATTGTTCCTGGAGGGAACACTGAGGCTTTCCTGTTTGAAGTCACCGCTGGGAAACTGTCTGAACTCAGGGCCGGCCCTTCTCCCCTCCCAGCGCTTCACCCCGTGGCCCAGGGTGAGCACAGGTCCATGCTTCCTGGCTCTCACCTGCGCTCGGTTCCAGGTGGGCAGGGGCAGGGCAGCCCCACGTCCCAGGCCCTCTGAAGTCTATGCTGAGAGGGGCCCCCTGCCTTGCTGGGTGGGGGTCAGGCGGGCTGGAACTGGAGAGAAAGGGGCTGGAAGCAACACCTGCCAGGTGCCTGGGGGTTGGGCCCAGGCGGCAAGCCCAGGCTGGCCCCTGTCTGTCTCTCTCCCCGCTTCCTGTCCCGGAGGAGCCTCACACACCCCCGGCCTCGAGGCATTTTTCCTGATCAGCCTCCCTGGCTGCTGGGAAAGGGCACGGGCCAGGTCAGCGCCTGGCGGGGAGCAGCTCAGAAGTGGCTCTGTGTGACTGAGATCAGCCTGAGGGCCCCGGGGAGGGGCAGGGCATGGGGACCCTGGCCATCCGTCGAGGCCGGTGGGGAGGGGCGTCGCTGGCTCTGGAGCAACACGGAGGGAACCAGGGCCCCCTCAGCACCTAGAAAAGAGCTCCCCCTGAAGGAGAGCGACCTTCTCTCGGGGGCAGACGGCGCCCAGAACGAGGCAGCAGGGGTTCGAACCTCGGGACGGCAGAGGGTGGAAAGAGCAGGGCCTGAGAGAGCAGCCTGAAGGGTGGTGGGACCCGCATGGTGCGCTCTGCGAGTGGCTGTTCGCTCCGCCCTGGAAGTGTTTCCCCGCCCTGTGTCCCTCAAGCTGCAGGAGGGCAGTGAGGGAGCTCAGACGGTATGGCCGCCCCAGGAGGGTTGGCTGGGCCTCCTGACTCTCACTGGGGAGGGGAGCTGTAGCAAGCAGGCGGGTGGGGGACCGGGAGATGGAGGTTACACTTCAAGCCAGACTCCAGGGTTGGACTAGCCCAGGTTCCAGGCTCCTGCTCAGCCCCTGTGGCTGTGTGATGTTGGGCAAACCCCTTGTCTGCTCTGGGCCCCTGTCTCCCCTTCCGGAAAAGAGGGACAACGTTGACATCTCTAGAGGGGGGAAGGAGCCAGAGGGGTGTTGTGGGTCAGGTTGCCGACTCAGCAAATAAAAGTTCAGGCTGCCCAGTTACACTTGAATTTCAGATAAATAATGATTTTTTTTAGTGTATGTCCTAAATATTGGGTGGAACATACACCAAAAATGACTCGTGGTTTATGTGAAATTCAAGTTGAATTGGGCACCCAGTATTTTATGTGGCAGCCTGAGTCATCCTGTGAAGGGCAAAACACGACATGAAGAGTAAGTGCCCGGGAAAGGCTGATGTCGGGTTCTCTTTCTCAGTCTGGCTCTTTCTGCCAGTGACTCTGCCTGTCTTCCCTCGGCTGGGCCCTGTCCCCAGTTTCCATGTCTGGCTCAGCAGAGGAGAGAGGGACCCCGTCCCCTGGCCCGACCCCTCTGCTGGGCTCTCGCCTACCTTCGCCGCACTCGCTACAGCCAGCCAGCAGGCGAGGCCCAAGACCACCGGCTCCCAGCGCCCCATGGTGTATGGCTGCCTCTCTGTGGCCCTCGCTCTGGGCCTGCGGTATTTATGGGCCTGGAGCCAGCCCAGAGCTGCCTGAGGGGGGACCCTTTCCCCCGCCTCCTACCGTTACCTTTTCCTCCATGCTGGCCGAACTCCAGGTGGTGTAGCTGGGGTCAGGAGGCACCTGCTGTTTCCAGCCGGGGTCGGGCTGGGCCAAGGTCACGTGCAAACACGCATATATACGCAAACACACACACACACACACACGTGGGGACAGTCCATCTTTCCCAGGGTCGGCTGCTGCCCTGTGACCTGGTCCCCACAGTGCACCTGTGCAGGTTACTGCCTACCTGGGAACAGAGGCAGATGGCACGGGTGCAGGGGGTGTGGGGAGGGCTGGGGCTTGGCTGGGTGCTAAGTGCGCTGCATTCTGGCGCCTCGACCAGGGCTTGCTTTCGCTCCTGGGGAAATGGGCATGCTGCGTCCCCCTGCCGTGCCTGCAGCTCAGCAGTGGGCGCTGATAGGCGACTGGGTGCGTGATTTCTGGGATAGAAAGGGCCACGGGCTACTGGGCAGCGGCTGGCTGTGCGGTTTGAGGTGGGGTGGGGACCTGAGCATCATGAGGTGGTCCCGCCCTCCAAGTATGGGGGCTTCTCGCTGTCAGCAGCGCAGTCCTGGGAGGGCAGGACAAGAGATCCAGCCCAGCCTTGAGGGCTTCCCGGGGAAAAGGAAGGGCCGGGCTTTCTGGCCACAGGGAACCTACAGATACACAGCTGTCCATCTGTCTGTCTGCCTGTCCGCCTACCATTTCCTGTGCCCAGATTTTTTGTGACGCAGAGTGAATGGAGAGAGGCTGGAGAAAGGTGGGGAGGGGTGGGCGGCTGCAGGTGGGAGGGAGTCAGGACACTGGGAAGAAGAGGCCATGCAGGCTGGGCTGGCGAGTGTGGGGCCGGGGTGCAAAGGTGTTGAGGGGTGCTGCCAGTGACAAGGAAAGGCACTTGCAACTCACACCTTTGCCCTGCTCCTGCAGTTCTAAGAATCTGTTCTAAGGGAGGTAATTAATTCTAAATAGGGGGGAGGGGAACATTCCAGGACGTTCCGTGCAGTGTTATTTATAGTAGCCGAGGAGGAAAGGAAGGGGGCAGGAGAGGGAAGGGGGCCTGCAGTTTCACTAATAGGGGGTGGCTGCCTCTTCATTTAATAGCGAGGGCCTCACGTGGTCCTGCACAGAGTAGGTGATCGATAGATACAGGACGAGCATGCCCAGAAGTGCCTGGGAGAATCTAACACTGTCTGTCCAGTAAAAAAATCCGCCCCGGCTTCCTGGCTGGGTCTGTCCACTGTGTTCATTGCTTGACCCTGTGTTAGAGACCAACCTCAGGGGCATTCCTCTCAGCCGAGAGAGCTTTGGCCACTGGCTGAGGCCTGACAAAGAGCCTCTCCTTGACCAAACTACTCAGGCTCCCCGACCTCTTCTTCAACTCTGCATCGTCCAGTTTTAGCAAGACTCTCGCTAAATTGCTTTAACCGGAATGCCCCACCCTCCATATCTGCCCCGCCTTGATCTCTGATTGGGGTCCCCATCCTCTGCCGTCCCCCACACCGATGATCACTGACCGCCCTGGTCTGTCTTCAGCAAGAATCCTGTTAGGTCAGTCTCTCCGGAAGCCCCCTCTCCCCTGGTGTTTCCTCTTTTTTTTTTTTGGCGGTACGCGGGCCTCTCACTGCTGTGGCCTCTCCCGTTGCGGAGCACAGGCTCTGGACACGCAGGCTTAGCGGCCATGGCTCATGGGCCCAGCCGCTCCGCGGCATGTGGGATCCTCCCGGACCGGGGCACGAACCCGTGTCCCCTACATCGGCAGGTGGACTCTCAACCACTGCGCCACCAGGGAAGCCCTGGTGTTTCCTCTTAGTAAGTTTCCATCCACAGACTCTCTCTCACCCTTGTTTGGCTAGGAAACCCCACTTGCCCAGGCTGTATTTGGACTTGAGCTCAGATCTATATGGAAGTCTCTCTTTCCCTATTGCAATAATCCTGAATAAAATCTGTTTTGGGGAATTACCTGGCGGTCCAGTAGTTAAGACTCCACGCTTCCACTGCAGGGGGCCTGGGTTCCATCCCTGTTTGGGGAACTAAGATCCCACAAGCCATGCAGCGTGGCCAAAAAAAAAAGTCTTCTTACTGCTTTAACAAGTGTCCAGCTGTGTGTGTGTGTGTGTGTGTGTGTGTGTGTGTGTGTGTGTGTGTGTGTAATCATTTTTATTGGAGTGTAGTCTGGTTTTTCTTTGACAGATCTCCCAAGAGCCCTGGGACTCTAACCTGGAAGAGGGGCTGGCCTGTGTGCCTGGGCCACCTCGGTCCCCCTGCTGTGGATTGTGTGGGATTTGCTGTGCATGGCCTCGGCTGTAGCTTTTTCCTCTCTCAGGCAATCTTCTGACTCCTTGGTTCTCACAAAAGAAAACTGGGAAAATCAGACAAAACTTGGAGCAGTGTGGTTGTTACATATTATGGTAATTTGGTGGAGAAAACTTAATCCAAATGTCTGAACTGGGAGTTTTGAATCCTGGTCCATGGACCTGTTAGGAAGTTTAAGGACAGGCCATGGGAGCCTGGATGGCCCTGAAACTTGATGCACGTATTTGTGGGGAAGCATATTTTCCTTCAGAAAGACTCCATGGTTATCACTGTATGCTCGGAGCATCTATGACCTTCCAAAGAGTCTAGGTTGGACGTATCAAAAGTTCTGAATTGGTATAACTGACAAAGTAGAAAACTAACGAAATTGATTTAATGGCACAAATACTTTTTAAAAATGTTTTTCTGGGCTGGAGCACATTCTGTAAGGGCAAATGCACCTGTGTTAACATTTGCAGACGTTGTAAATCAGACAGACACAGGTCCAACCCTGACACTGCCACTCGATAGCTGTGGGATCTGGACACGTGTCTTTACCTCTCTTAACTTCCCCACTGATACCTTTGCTCAGGGAACGATGTCTGAGAGGTTCATAGCACAATAATTATCAGGGTCTGCTGTTTACAAGGTGCTCAAAATGAACATTTAAAATTTGTTTTCAGGCAGAGAAATGTCCATTTTAAGTTGTAGGGAACCTAACTATATCAGTAGATGTTCTAGCCACAGAGAAAACAGTTACTTCAAGTGACTTGGAGGCGTGACTGTGTGTTCATAGCAGCATTTATCCTAAGGAGAAAGCAAGTGCAACACAATCTTAAATGATCTTTGATGGTCATATTATTTTATCAAAGATTACTTTATATAATTTATCACTTGTTATTTAAATTTGTATATTTGATAATTTATATGATCTATTATAATATTTTCTATTTTGAAAATATATGTATGTTATAGGAGAAAAAGTAATTATGCTAGTGGTGTAAGATTTTCAGCATAGGTGGAAAAAGAAATGAGTAAGATCAGAGAGGGACTTTCCTGGCGGTCCAGTGGTTAAGACTCTGCACTTCCAATGCAAGGGGTGTGGGTTCAATCCCTGGTCGGGGTACTAAGATCCCACATGCTGCGCAGAGAAGTAAAAGCTTATAATCTTACATTTTCATTGGGAGATATCTATATGAACTCATAACTTATTATTTTTTGGGGGGTAAAAAAGTGTCCATTTCCTAGCTCTGTGTAATCCAAAGCCCTAGAGGTAAAGAAAACCCAGGAGCAACAAGCACCCCCTGGTGCCCAGATTGGGGTGTCTAAACACCATTTCCACACCAAGGAAGGTGGCACTCTGGAGCAACGGTTAGGCTGGATCTAAGACAGGAAATGCAGTGGAGGAGCCTGGGCCATCACGGTGGCTGGAAGCAAGAAGGCGCGGAAGACCAGAGGGTGCGTCAAAGGACACAGGACCCAACCCGGGGCTGCTCTCAGGCTAGACATGAGACAAGTAGGGCAGCAAAAAGCATGACTGCAACTGATTGAAACAGATCATCACAAAGCTAAAAGCATCCCCCTGGTCATCACTGGTCATTGCTGTGGAGCCATAAATGAGGCCAGCGGATGAGGGCGACAGCACCCGAATCTGCTGGTCAGTCAATGCTCGTGTCACTAAAGGGACCCAGCAGGCATCGGTGCCTCCCAACTGGATGGGCGCATTCGAAGCTGAATTGCTGTTGATTTGTTAAGTTTGATGACGGCGTCACTGTGTTTTGAAAACAAAAAGTCCTGATGTGTTAGACACACACTGAAGTATGGGATGGTAACTGGTAAAGCCATATGATGGATAAATAGGGGCTTATTATACAATACTCGGAACTTCTGTGTATATTTGCTATTTTCCATAATAAAATGCTTTTTAAAAGGGGGTGTGTGTAGGTATTTCGGTTTCTAAGTAGGGAACCCCTGAATACTTTTCAAGAACCTGGGAAGCCCGTCCAATTCGGCACATAGAAGGCAGGTTCTGAGTAAGGTGGGGCTTAGCTGCAGAGAGAGTGTCCCTGCCCCCCGGCATGCCTCCCTCAGCTCTGCACAGGGACCAAGGCGGCTTCCGGGAGAGGGGGGCCAGGACCCAGACCTTCTCGCTCTGAGCTTTGAGGTTAGCAGCATGGTTAAGAAGTGGGACCAGCCGCAGCTAAGATCCACCAGCAGAGACCTCGGCCTGAGTGAAAGCGGTAGAGGTGAGGAAGGGGGAAGGCCCAGGCAGCTGCACCTCACCCCCAGTGGGAGCGACAGGCACATCGGGGCGCTCAGCTCTCCAAGGCCGGTTCCCAGAACTGACCACTTCAGGCCAACTGTGAGCCACTGGGGTTTCTGACCTGTCGTGGGAGGGGGCTTCCGTCTGACTTTGGAACTTGTGGTCACACTCTGTGGCCCAGCCTGCGGCTGAGGAAGTGGGTGATGGGGCTCATCTCTGGCTCAGGCAGTGTGTGTGGGGGTACTCCCCGGGGAGGGCAGGTTCAGCCCCACCAGGGACCCTGCAATCCCTGGAAACCTCTGGTTTCACACCAGGCAGCCCTGAGACAGGGTCTGTCTCCCGTGAGCTTCTCAAGAACACATCCATTTGGAACAGGAAGGGATGAACGTGAGGCTGTAGGGCCTCCCGGGGCTGCAGTTACTTCTGGCTGCTCTCACCTGGCCCACCTGCCGAGGGGCATCAGGCCTGTTCTCAACCATCCCGGCATCACCCACCACGAGGTCACTGAATGAACGACTGAAGGGACAAACGACGTCCAGCAGGGAGCCCAAGCCCAGAGGCAAGAGGAAACCCCTCTCTGGCTGACATCCCCACTGAGACACCAAGGCTCCTTGGGAAAATGTGTTTAATACAGACAATTCCAGCTGGGCCTGCCCTTTGCCAGGTTACCCCAAACGGATGGGGTCCAGACACGATGGCAGACTTCGCCGCCTGTGACCACGGACCAGGCTCCTCGCCCCGTCCTTTTGCCTCAGCAGCAGCCAGGGCCGGCCCTCCCCCGCTGCACCATCTGCACCTCCAGAGCTTGCTGGTCTCGGCCAGAGGGAGGCGCTGGGCGCTGGCTCAGCCCGAGGGACACCGGGCTGGCTCGCGGCTGTGCAAAGTCGGGGGACCACCTTCGGGATGGCCCCGGGCACCCAGGGTCGGCTGTACCCGGCTGCTTTCCTCAGCAGGGCCGCCTGGGGACATTCTGGCTTCTGTGGGCAGCAGCAGGGGACCCCGGCTTGTCCTGGGTCCCTCATCAGGCCTGGTCGGGGGGCCCAGCCTGGAGCCCAGGGCTGCATCACACGTAGTCCAGAATTTCCGTCTCCATCTCGTTCTCGCTCCCGTCCGACGGCTTGAAGTCGTCCTCATCGTCCTCGTCGTCCTCGTCCTCCGCGTCCTCTGCTTCCTCGTCCCCAGATCCGCAGGTCAGCTGTTCTTTCCCGTCGTCAGCTTTGGCCGGGCTGGAGAAGAGAGCTGGGCCAAAAGACAGGCCGTGTGTGTCCCGTCGTTGGCTCCTGGGCGCACCCACACCAGCTGTTGCTGGTCTCAGCCAGAGGCCCTCGGCTCCTGGGGGCCTGTCTACAAATACGGGTGTCTGGGCTCAAGCTCTAGAGAAGCTG